AAAGACACTTGTGATGAGCACTGGGTGTATGTAAGTGATGAATCACTGGGTTCTACTCCTGAAACCAATACTTTACTGTGTTAACTAACTTGAATTTAAACTTAAAAAAAAAAGAAAAATTTCCCTGTACCTAAGAGAAAAACTATGCTAAGCCGAGCATGTGAATTTGACTGCTTCTGTGAAATACCCCATTTTACTGTTTTCTTTGCAGAAGTGGATGCCTGGGCCAATTTTGGAATCAAATCCCCAGTCTCTAAGAAGGGCATTTCATACTCTAAGAACCAAATTCCCCTATTAAAACTTGGTTTGCAATCCTACTCATCCCCTTAAAATTCCTCCCCTTCAACAAGCTGAGGTGCAATTTACATGTCACATAACCTTTTTAAAGTACAGAAATTTGTCCAGCCCCTCTAAGTTTATAGTGCTTTCACACAAGTACCTGATTTAATCCTGAAAATTCTGCTCAGTAAGTCCAAAGCTAATGTAAAATACTAGGAAACATACAGTATCAATTTGAACCAAAATATCATGTAACATCTAATAATTGCAAATATATTTATTACAATTTACAGATTAGTTAAAGTTATATACACAAATATAATTTTAGCTATAAAATCCCAACAAACTGGTTACATTTAAATCACTGCATCTGTAGAAGCCAATTTAGAGTCTCCTCGTCCCCTAAATTCACCTTCCTTAAATTATAAAAAAATAAAATCTGACAGTTTTGATTTCAAGTTAAAGATGAAGAGGCGCTGTTATCACATTTCAAACACTCAGAAAAGGAAATTTTACCTGTCTGTACAAAGCCTTTCACATGCTACATTGATACTTAAAGCACCACTGCAAGACTTTAAACGTGCACAATGTTCAGTGACAGCTTCCAGGTTTGACTTTGTTCTAACAACTAGGATTGGGATGAAATGACAAGAATTTTTTTCTCCTTCAGCCCCACTTAAAAATAGCCCCTTCTGTCCTTTTCATCACTGTCCGATCGCTTCTTTTAAAGGAGGGTGGTAAGTGGGAGAACTCTTCCCCAAGCTTTTACTCATTTGGTAGTGAGGTCGGAATCCCCAGGGAACAAGGTTCCAAAATCCAATACGTGTCAAGCTATGCCATTATTTTCACATAAGCGAGAGGTGCAAGATTTCAGGCGGAGCCTGTGAAATAACCAGTAGGCTCCAGGCTGGTTTTAAAAGAACGCCTAGACGCTTTCAATAAGCTTTGTTCAAGACAAATGGTGCCTTCTTTCCATCTGACACAGCGGTGCTTGAAACCAGCCTGTTTCCACTGCGCTCCAGCAGGACTCTGCAAGTGCAGCCCCTACAATGGCCTCAAGTGGAGGCGCACAGCGCCCGGGGGGTAAGGGCTCTGCAAAAATGGGACCGGCTTTGATGATGGCGTACTCGCCGTGTATTCACCTGTGAGTATGTATGTTATCACTGGAGGCAATGCTTAGAGCGGACTGGATGGAAGTAATGACCAGGTAGATTATAAACTGAGGTAGTAACTCTGCCAGCACTTCTGATGAAAAATTTGTTTCCACACTGGACCAAGTTGAAACTGAAGAGGTCACCTGTCTACTCATGTGTTCCATCACCTGCGACAGGAGGCACGTGGGGTAAAGAGGGACCAATAGGAGGAGATCACCATTACCTCGGCCTAACAGTTGTGCACCATGTAGAGCTAACCAAGCAAACCAAGGACAATCAGTCACTGCAGAAACTTCAATTCAAAAGTGAACTTTGGGCTAAAAATATTAAGACTTTCAAGTTAAGTCTATAGTACCATCCTGGAAGTACAGGCCTTGTCTTACTTCTCTCAGTAACAGAACACAATAAACTTGGATATCGACTGAAGTCTGTATTTTATGTTGCAAACTGGAAAATTCAGAACTGCCCATTTCCAAGTTTACAGTGTCCCCCTGACAGGTTTTAAAAGTGACGGTGCTGAGACGTGAGATTAATAACACTGGTTTTCTGTTGAGAGCATACACAACAGAACCAAATTGCTCTGAGAGGTCTCCTAGCTCCTTCCTAGGACAATTCTTGGCTTTTCAATTTAAAAAATAAATGCCTATGATGCAATCATTGCTTTCCAGAGTCTTTTACAACAATTTCTACCTGTTGCAACATGCAAAGAACCATTGAATTGGGAACGACAGTAACATGTACAGAACCCTCTCCGAGACGGTTTGCACAGAAGTTAAACGTGTTAGACATTACAATTTGGCAGAAAGATGCAATTTTCCCAAACACCAGAAGAGTCCTACGCATGGAAGTTTTGTGGCGGTTCCTGAAAGTGTCTTAGGTAGAACTTCACCTAGAAACAATGACCCACCACACAACTTTCAACCAGAGTCATTTTTAGTAGAGGGAAAAAAAAGTTGACACAAGATATTTAAGCTGGTAGCATACACAAGATTATTTTCTCAGCTTTTAAGTTAGAAGGGCCACATCACCGAGATAAAAATAGAGAGAGAGAACATAAAAGCCTCTTAATTTTAGAATGTCACGGAGGAAGAGCCCAGCGTTTTCAGACAGGTAAACATAATTTAAATTAGAATGGAAAATGGGCTTTGCACCCTATAAATATTGTTTCCCAAGAAAATAAGTTTTGGAAATGCAAAATTACACCTTAAACGGTCCCCTATTTCACCTTGGCAAGCACAGAACATTCAAAAACACATCCAACTAAGTCAAAAAAGGGAGGATTAGAAACCACATCATCTCATCCTTCATTACCAGGGCTCGGCTTCAAACCTGGACATTTCTGAGTGGGATTGGTTGCAAAAAAAAAAAAAAAAGGAAATTAGACTAGGTCGCTGGGTCCAAGTTGCATATCCTCTAAAAAAAAAAGGACAGCTGCCAAATTTTGTTTTTAAAAGAAACCTCTCAAATAAGAGGTAGTGTATGCTCGAGTTAGAGGCTGTCAAACCATCTTAACATTGCTTGAAAGCAGTAAGTCCTTTGAAGCATGTTTCCTGGAGTCTATTGAACATTCTTTCTCTGTGCTCAACTGTCAAGCAATATCCAATAGCATCTTCTGTTTCTTGAATTCGTTTCTGGAACCTGCACCCATCCCGTGCAAATTCTTCCCATGGTCCTTTGCGGTCCTCATCACCACTTATATAATACTCAGTAACTTCTTCAAGGAAGGTTACCTATAAAGACAAAGACTATTTTTAATCGTGCTCTAGGATCTTACAATCACTGAGGTAATTAACCAAACCTTTATGCTACTAATTCTTTCGGAATATCAAACAACCCAGTACCTCAGAGGAATATTTGGTTTCAACTGTAACAGAAGTTTAAAAGAAAAAGAAGAAAGCAGCAGTAGTTCTGACTGATTAGATGGCCTCTCAATAAACAGTGAGCAAATGGCCATTTGCACCTACATGGATGGAACTGGAGGGTATTATGCTAAGTGGTATTAGAGAAAGACAAGTATCATATGACTTCACTCATAGGAGGAATTTAACAGACAAAACAGGTGAACGTAAGGGAAGGGAAGCAAAAATCCTATACAAACAGCGAGGGGGACGAAACAGAAGAGACTCTTAAAAATGGAGAACAAACCCAGGGTTACTGGAGGGGTGGTTGGAGAGGGGATGGGCTAAATGGGGAAGGGGCATTATGGAATCTACTCCTGAAATCATTGTTGCACTACATGCTAACTTGGATGTAAATTTAAAAATTAATTAATTAAATTTTTTTTTTTTAAAGTGAGCAAATGCCATCTTAATTTCCTTCACACATACACATACATTCCTGCCCCATGTGTCATCGTGTTGTTCTACCTCCCTCCTCTTGGTTTTGGTGTTAAGAAAATGAATCCAGATGGGGAACTGTAAGTCTCCTGATGTTATCCTTGTTTTTTTTTTTTTTTTCAATCCTTAGGGAAGTACAGTTCTGTGACACTTTTCTTCCAAAATGACAAATGTTTCCCCCAGAACTTTTCAGAAATATTTGAAACAGTTATTCGTCAATGTCAGTCGATGCTTTTCTTACGGCACCAAAAGCTTTAACAAGACCTTCACTATTTCTATTCTTTTTCCTTTTAAATAAAATTTCACTTTTTCGGTGCTTTCCAACTTTTGCATCATGAACATGTAGTGTTACTCTTATACTATTACTTTTGTAATCAGACTATTAAAAAGGTTACTTAGTCAACAAAATACAGCGAAATTAACATATTTTAAGGCTATGTTGCTGAGAGACTTTGTGGTGGAGATAAAAACCCTTTTCATCCCTCCTTAATATGCTACCATTACATACACATGAAATTGTAAATATTACAGTACACATGATTTCACGTAATGAGTGACAGTCCCTTTTTAACCCCTACTTAATTTTTAATATAGAAGTTTCTTTCGGACGGAGCAAAGTACAAAAGTAAATACTTGCTCTAAAATATGTTCAATAGTTACATCAGCTAATCCCACCGTGGCCTACTCCTTTCTCCTTTCCTTCCCTTTACATCAGGCCGAGGAATGCCCTCGAGGACAATTAGCAAGCATGTAACATCTTACTAGATATTGCATTCTAGAGTTACTCACTCATGGTGTCACTAAATAATAACAACAACATGGATAGAGTGTTTACCATATGCCAAGCTCCCTTCAGAGCACTTCACAATTTCTACCTCATTTAATCCTCATAGGACATGTACGATTATCACCTCCATTGTATAGAGAAGGAAAGAAAGGCAGGGAGGTTAACGGGCTTGTTTCAAATGACACAGCTTCCAGGAGGTGTAGCAAACAGACTGCAAACCGAGTGCGGCCCCACAATCTGCACCGTTAGTGCCGTGGCACAGGCGTTTCAAACTCCCATAGCTCAATGTTTCGTTTTAAGAATTAAGCACTGTCAGGGGCGCCTGGGTGGCTCAGTCGGTTAAGCGTCCGACTTCAGCCCGGTCGTGATCTCGCGGTGAGTTCGAGCCCCGCGGTGGGCTCTGTGCTGACAGCTCAGTGCCTGGAGCCTGCTTCTGATTCTGTGTCTCCCTCTTTTTCTGCCCATCCCCTACTCATGCTCTGTCTCTCTCTGTCTCAGAAATAAATAAATGTTAAAAAAAAAAATTAAAAAAAAAAAAAGAATTAGGCACTATCCACAATTCCCATATACCTGAAGAATGTCAAGTACTAAAAGGCTGCCCGAATAATTTTACTATGTTTTAGACATAATCCTTTATAAATGTTGCTTCCACTTCATAGTCAGTAGTCTCCCAGCTACTTGACTCATCTCATTTTTACTCAATGAGTAAGCGAAAATGAGACATGAGACTGGCCTGAGGTCCCTGAACTGTACAGCTACCATTTAAAGGCAAGGGGATGAATTAGGAGTGTTATTTACTCATCTCATTTAAATCATGCAATAACTCATACAATAGATGCAATTATTACTCCCATCAGATAAATGAGTCAATCAAGGCCATGAGAGGTCAAGTTACTTTGCAGGTCTGGCTGTCTTCCCAAATCTCTTGGCCCTAACAGCTCAGCAGGAGGGAACACAAGTCTCCAGATACCAAATGTGCATTCCGCTGCCCCACTTTGCTTTTTAATCTAGTCACGAAATAGGTCATTTTGTCAGGGGCCCGTTAAAAATATAAAGAAAAGATCTTTTATGATGACATTTACAGAAGAGTGAACGAATTTTTAACATGACTTATTCTACTTCTACAGGCGAGACATACGTTATCACCATTTAGAGAAATTTTCTACCCAGGAAGAGTTTCAAAAGATTAATTCAGCTGGCTATTTGGAGCCAATAGATTATGGCCCTGTCCGCTTGAAACTCTGATGCGGCAGAATCAGAGGGCACCAATAATTTCCCCTTCTTTCTCTTTCTAAATAAGTGTACAGGAAACTAAAGAAACTTTCCCTCTACAATAAAGACACCCTGTGTGCTTAGAGGGATTCCTCTCCAATTAATAACTTTAGCTGAACAAACAATAGAGGCAAAATACAAAGCAATTCAAAGGGCTCCCAAAATAAGATTAACTTGACAATGTGTTAAAAGAATAAAATGAAGTTTTTGAGACTAGTTTAGGAAGCAACTACTCAAGTTAAGCCTAGTAAGTGACCATCATTGTTACAAATGATTATTAACCAGTAACTGGCCAATGAGAACTAATAACTAATTGCACTCTTAGGAAAAGGCAATACTATTTCCTGGTTTTTCGGTTTTTTACCGTCAAAGTCACGTACATGTCAAAAAGTCTTTCATATTGAAACTAGTATTTTCTTTCATGTCAAACAACCAGACAAATCTGGCCTGCTACTTGGTACCATCATCTCTCTGGGTCCTAATGGACAGTAATGAAGACACTGTTATCCCGTAAATAAAATATTAAGGTCTGCAAATGACGTACCACATTTAAAAACTCTATGGCTACAACAGGACCTGACCAACCTCCCGAAAAATTTAAATTGTGTATACACACAAGGTTTAATTTTTCTGTTCCGTAAAAAAGAGTGGAAAGTTGAAGTTTGCATGCAAATAGCCCAGAGCTACAAACCCAAATGAAAAGGGCACTTTCCGGGGCACCTGGGTGGCTCAGTCGGTTAAGCATCTTACTTCGGCTCAGGTCATGATCTCACACTCCATTGAGATCGAGCCCCACGTCGGGCTCTGTGCTGACAGCTCAGAGCCTCGAGCCTGCTTTGGATTCTGTGTCTCCCTCTCTCTGACTCTCCCTCGTTCATGCTCTTTCTCTGTCTCAAAAATAAATAACCATTAACAACAACAAAAAAAAGGGCACTTTCCTGCTAACGTCTATACCCCAGTGTCTTCCATCTGGACAGGAACAACATTCTACAAGAGGGAAGAAGGGGGGGGTGGAGGTGGGAGGGTGTCATTTCTTAATCCGAGTATATAAGTTTAGAGTCCTTCCGCGCAAAAAATATGCACGACTATGCCTCCAGAAAAGTCATCCTATTGTATTTAACCACATCAAAACAGTACAAATTAACAGGCACATTAGAAGAAAGACACAAACCTTTTTCCTCTTGATACGCGTGTGTCTTTGTCCAGAAAGAACCCCACCCTGTCCCAAGTCTGGACCTTCGGTTTCTCGGCTCCCTAACAGGTGCACCTCACAAGAAAGTAAGGTGTGATACTCCGAAATGGCCGCAGCGGGCTCAGACGGCCTCTCTGGGTCGCAACGGCCTTTCCAAATTTTCCCTGATGTTTGAAAAGGAGCCTTAAAATTTAAAAGGTTGTAGGGGTCATCGGAATTACAGAAAGAATTCCACAGTTTGAGATTCTCTGCTTCATCTGCACTAGATTCCCAGTCCTCTTCCTCCCCAGAATTCTGGTCAGGAGACTCGGGAAGGCTTCCGGTCTGGGGAGAATTCTCTAGATCAGACTTGTCAGACAAATCCTTCTCGGAGTCAGAAGGGGCTCCAGGAACAATTCTGGCAGCAGTCTGAATTGTTGCCGTAAAGTTTTGGGGATTATACGGATCTACGCTATAGAAAGAGTTCCAAAGCTGAAGCCCTTCAGAGTCTTGTTCAAGGTCTGATTCTGAGAATGAGCTATCACTATCAAAACCATCATCCTCAGCCTCCTCATCCCAACCCTCACCTTCGGAATCAGAACTTGTTTCCGGGTCACTGGATGCGCCTCCCAAAATGTAATCTATCAACCTGTTGCTACAGGCTGGTCTCGAGGATAAGGGAATGTCATCCTCTAGGTCCGAGGAGTCAACTACACTTATTTGGTCCTCGCCAGGCTCTTTTTCCACCGGTACCTCACGAGATGGACAGCCTTCTGAAGGCCCTGGTTTCTCCACAGCAAGCGGGTCCTCTGTGGTCACCAACGCGACTTCCTCCTCGGTTCCCGGTTTCTGGGCGGTTCCGGGAACGGCTCCAGCAGAGGGAACACACTGTGTGGGACTGTCTCCGCCGGGTTGCGGATCCATCCGGAGCAAGCTGTGCTCCTCCTCCAGACTGTGGTAGCCATGATCTTGGTCTGGGCTGGGTAACGCTTGCCCCTTGCTGGCCTGCTGGAGGAATTCCAGCCGTTTCATGCGAAGATGGTGGATTTCGGGCAGGCCCTCTCTAGAAAGGGGCGGACATCCCCGCCATGAAGCGCAAGTGATCTCTGCCTTCAGTGGCTGGGGAGGGTCATGGGCCTCAGTCACACAGCTGCTCTCGGGGCTGAGGGTCTGGAAATCAACTAGCTCGCCACTTCCCACGCCGCTCTGATAGCCGAGCCCCACCCGGGGCAGGGAGTCCAGATAGGAGGGGTTCAACAAATAGGAGACCACGCCGAAACTGCTTACACGCTTAACGTTTGGAGGCCCGGAGGGCAAAGAGCCAAGTTCCCGGTCCGAGCAAAGATGGCCTTGAAGGCCACTGGGCAACAGCTCCACTCCCCACAGCTGGTGCTCTAACAGAAAAGCGTGTGCCGCGGGGTCCAGGGCTCCAGCCTTGGCTTTGAGTTCCGATGTTAGATCTAAAGACGAGCACTGCCAGTGGATCCCCTCCTCCAGCCAATTGAGGGGGCTGGCACCAGAGTCGTCCGAGGGGTCGAGCCGCAGCGAACTCAAAGATTTCTGCGCGGGGGGCGCGGCTGGGTCCTCCCGAGCCTTCAGGGCCCTCAGGGCGCTGGACCCTCCAGCAAAATCTAGCCATCTGGTCGGAACCATCTCTCCGAAAAGCTGGCTCCAAACCAGCAGCTTCTGAAGCAGGCTGGGGAGTGGCGCGAAGAGCTGGGAAAGCAGCTTCACCCAGTAGCTGGTCCGAGGCTGGGGGGAAGCAGCAAGTCTGGGGTCCCCGGAGTGTTCCGGGGCAGGAGGCGTGGGCAACTTGGAGGTGCCGGGCTGCGGGCGTCGAGGGAAGAAGAAAGGCAGCCGGATCCGGGGGCCCGGCCGAGAGGCTGGCCGTGGCCGAGACCCGTCTGCTGCCGGCTCCATCTCCTTGTTCTTGGCAGTCTTCTCAGGGCTGAAGGTCGGACGGGATTCGGAGCGGCCTAAACAGTCTTGGCCGGAGTCGGGGCCCCAGGCCGATCCCCGGGCCAGCAGAAGAACCACAGCGGGAAGCGGCTTCCGCCGCGGGCGGCAGACCACAGTCCGGAACGGCAGGCGCAGGACGTAGCGGCCGAGACGACATTCATCCTGGCGGGAAGAAGGCGTCCTAGTCCGCCCGAGGCCTCTCCACCATAGATAGAGCCCTCCCGCGGCGACGGCAGCGACTGTCCAGAAGAGACGGACCGTTAAAAAGCCCCTCGGCAGCGCGACCCCGGAAGGGCTGGGCAAGAGGACGCGGGTGGAAGCGAAGCCCAAAATGGCCGCGGGGCCAGCGCGGAGCAGGACACCCCCAGGCGAGAGGACGAGACGAAGGAGGGCGGCTGGCTACGCCACCAGCCCCGCGTCGCCCAACGTCACTCGCACAGCCTCGGCGGGAGGGCCTTTCCCCACTCCGGAGTGCGGCCCCTGATTGGTCTCCGGCCGTTCCCTGTCGGCTTCCTTACTCTCGGCGGACCCAGCCCGCCCGCCGGAGGTTGCATCAGCCGGGCCTAGGCTGTACGCGTGCGCACTGGTTCCCCCGTGGTCTCCTAGGAGACCGCCCCGCCCCGGTGCCCCCCAGCCCCACCCAGTCCTTTGGGCGAAAGGGGACTTTGCCAGATAACCCGACAATTCCCGGAAGCCCTCTTAAGGTCCTAATACACACCCAAGTGTGTACACTTACCTTAGGCTTGCATATATCGGGGTTCCTGTATTGAGTGCTAAGTAGATCGTCAGCATGAGATCTTAGTATAATAAGAATTGACAATACTGTGTAAATACACGTCTGGTGTTAAGACACTAATGATTTGGAGTGAATAATGAGTGCAAAATCATAAGAGGAAAATGAGTCATTCTTATGCATTCGTGCCCTTTCGGTTTTCGAGTTTCTAAATCACTACTTAGCTTTGCCTACGACCCAGCTTTCAGTATCTAATCCACATACATCTCCCCACGAAAATGTGAACTCTTGTTTCTTAGGTGGTGCCCTATTAGACTGTCCCCTTTCAGGAGAGGCAAACTGAAGTTGCAGAGGAGGAAAGAAACGTAGTCCTCGGAGGTGTTGACTCTCTTATATGCTTCCCAGGAGGCAACACATTCAAGTCCTATTTATGTCCTGAGCCGCCCAGAACCGCAGGATACAGCATGTAAAGGACACGCGGACCGTTATCCTTTGAAAAAATTTTGTCTATTATAATTGCTATATTTAATTCTCCTTAGTTCATTTCTTTTTTCTGCTAAAAGTTTTTCATTGACACCTCTGAAATTAAAAAAAAAAAAAATCTATTACAGACGGAGTGTGGCAATTTTAAGCACTTAGGGACTGCGGAACGATCTTCCCGGAACCAGGAGGAAGCCAGCTGCTCTTCCTGCTTCAATGGGACTGTTCAAAGAACAGCCACTTCCTTCTAGGAATCTAAAAGGTCCTCAGTTTCTATGGTTTACCCCCTTATTATCTTATCCGTAGCTCTGGAAATATCTCATTTTTAATCCTAAGAACTTCAGAAAAAAATGTATTAATAATAGGAGGTTAATAATAGAAAAGAGATCTAAGCAGGAAAATTAAATACTTGAAGCCTCAGTTTCTTGGCTGTCAAGTGAGACTAACAATTCCTCTTTCAACAGGCTGGTGAGAGAATGAAATTCCTAATACAGTGCCTGGCCTAGAGAGAGTAGGGGCATAACCATCAGCTAATGCTTGTGATTTAGCAGCTAACAATGGTTTCCCATGGCCTACGCAATCAAGGCTCTGTACAGCCTGTCCTCCCACTATGCTTTGCCAGCCTTCTCTTCAGTAACTTCCGTTCATGCGTGTTAATACTCCAGAACTTTGGACTTGTGGCCTGCCTCTCTATGTGTGCTGTTTCTCAGCCAAGAAAGCCCTCTTCCTCCCCCTTATATAAGTACTCATGCTTCAAGGTCCAACTCAAACATCAACCCCTTCTTGAAATCTTTGTTGACCTTCCCGGTCAGAACAATATTATTATATACTACCTGAACACTTAACATGCTACACTACAGGGGCGCCTGGGTGGCGCAGTCGGTTAAGCGTCTGACTTCAGCCAGGTCACGATCTCGCGGTCCGGGAGTTCGAGCCCCGCGTCAGGCTCTGGGCTGATGGCTCAGAGCCTGGAGCCTGTTTCCGATTCTGTGTCTCCTTCTCTCTCTGCCCCTCCCCCATTCATGCTCTGTCTCTCTCTGTCCCAAAAATAAATAAACGTTGAAAAAAAAAATTAAAAAAAAAACAAACAAACATGCTACACTACATACACCTATGAATGTTCTTTCCTGCTGGTTTCAGCTCCTTGAGGGCGATTTCCCAATACCTAGCCCAGTGGTTCCCAAAATATGATCTGGGCACCCACGGGGATGCCATTTTCAGACCCTTTCAGGGGGCCCTCAAGGCCAAAATAATGTTCATAATAATATGCAGCTGTTATTTTCCTTTTTAACTCTCATTTTTTTCACGAGTGTATGTTGGACATGTATCTTCTAGAAAATACATGATAAGTGATCTGGCAACCCGTGGAATGCAACAACAGATAGGAGATTCGAGTTCTCTTCTATCAAGCCAGATATTAACAACATTTGGGGAAAAAAAAGTAAAACAATATCCCTCTTCTTGCTACATTTTGTTTTGAAAAATAATTTTTCATTAAAAGTGTTACGTTGACATGTAGTGGGTTTATTATTTTTAATGAATATTTAAAAATTCCTCAGTTCTGACTTCTTGAACGTTAACTATTGATAACTATATAACACACATAAACAAAAGTTCCTGGGGGTCTTCAATAATTTTTAAGAGCGTAAAAGGGATCCTGAGCCCAAAAAGTTAGGGAATGACTGACCTAGATGTTGGCTGGCACATCATAGGTGACCAATAATGTTTGCTGCATGAATGGAAAAGTATTAATACTCTAAAACCACAGCATCAGGGGTGCCTGGGTGGCTCAGTCAGTTAAACATCGGACTGTTGAGTCAGAGAAAGACCAGTATCATGTGACTTCACTCATATGAGGAATTTAAGACACAAAACAGATGACCCTAAGGGAAGGGAAGCGAAAATAATACAAAAACAGGGAGGGGACAAAACATAAGAGATCCTTGAATATGGAGAACAAACTGAGGGCTGCTGGAGGGGTTGTGGGTGAGGGGAGGGGCTAAACGGGCAAGGGGCATGAAGGAGGACACTTGTTGGGATGAGCACTGGGTGTTATACGTAGGGGATGAATCACTGGAATCTACTGCTGAAATCATTGTTGCACCATATGCTAATGACCTTGGATGTAAATTTTTTTTAATTAATTAATAAAAAAAAGAAAGTCTGACTCTTGACTTTGGCTTGGGTCATGATCTCACAATTTGGAGGTTCGAGCCCCACATCGGGGTCTGTGCTGACAGCATAGAGCCTGCTTGGGATTCTCTCTCTCCCTCTCTCCTTCTCTGTCTTTCCCCCGCTGGTGTTTTCCCTCTCTCTCTCTCTTTTTCTCAAAATAAATAAATGAACTTAAAAAACTTTTAAAATAACAGCATCTTCCTTATGGCTAAGCCTTTTGTTTTCCACTGTCGACTTTGTGGCTAACACCGCATGTCCCCCCAAAAGTTTTCTTAAAGCTTTTTCTTTTTTCTATTTTTTTAGTGTTTGTTTATTTTTTGAGAGCAAGAGAGACAGAGTGGAAGTGGGGGAGGGTTAGAAAGAGAGGGAGACACAGAATCCCAAGCAGGCTCCAGGCTCTGAGCTGTCAGCACAGAGCCCAACGCGGGGCTCGAACTCACAAGTGGTGAGATCATGACTTGAGCCGAAGTCGGACGTTTCACTCACCGAGCCACCCAGGCATCCCTTTTTCACTAAGTTTTTCTAAGTTTATTTATTTATTTTGAGAGAGAGAGACAGAAAGCACAAGTGGGGGAGGGGCAGAGAGAGAGGGAGAGAGAGAATCCCAGCAGATTCTGCACTATCAGCGCAGAGTGAGATGCGGGACTCGAACCCACAAACCATGAGATCATGACCTGAGCCAAAGTCTGAGGCTTGACCGACTGAGCCACCCAGGTGCCCCTTAAAGCTTTCTTGAATGAGCCTCCCCTTCCCCATCTCATCCTTGAATATATAATTTGATTCTCCTTACCTTGGAAGTTGTTCTAAAGGGGAAAAAAAACACAGTCATAAAGTATCAAAACCTGTAAGAATTTGTGACTTAGCCCTGTCAGTCCCAACAGGAAAATAAAGTGTAAACCAGCTTCCTCGAGCCTGCTATCAACCAGAGGGTGGAGGGAGGGTAGCTCTGGACACCGAGATAACAAAGTGTTGCCATAGCTGTAGGCGTGCTGGTGAGGACAAGAAGTCCTTGGACTGGCAAGCTGACTGGCACTTTGGCAGAAGGTAAGGTTTAAACCTCAGTTGATCATGTTTATTTTAAAAGATTTTGCGGGCCTGAGGCAGAGGGTATACAGCTTTTGACTTCATTTGTCTGCCAGCACCACCTCCAAAATCTCACTTCTAAGTATCCCACACTTCACATGGTCACCACCTGCCATCTTTCCAACTCACTGCCCCGTATCCCTAGTCAGCGACTTATCACCCCCTGGAAACCTCCACACCACTGCCGTTTCCACTTTTGTTGTGATTTCTCGCCCTCCTTCACTTCCCTCCTTACCCAGCGTGAATTCCACGTTCCAGTATCAAAAACTAACCCACTGCAAAGACGCTTCATTCTCTTGCTCTTCGCTGGCCAAATCCCAACCCTAGTTGAACTCAACTACCCACTTGTTCTTAGTCTACGCACTCAGCTAATCATGGCCAAGGAAAAGCACTCAGCAGTGCCGACTGACTTGCTTCGTATTTGTGACCACAAATTTCATCAGTGCCGGGCATTCCTACGACAGTTCATAGTTCCAGCTTTGTTTCTCCCACACTCTGAGACTGTTTCACAGTTTCTTCCAATTTCCAGCATTCCCTTAAATACACATCCTCAGCTTACAGTCACACCTCATACTTCATTGAGAAACCAGACACAATTGGACATAAACAACCTCATTTTTCCACCACTAAATCCACCCATCTTCCAGCATTTGGACCCACATACTCCGCCTTCAATCCCATAACAAGAAAAGAAGCCTCCTGGGGGCGCCTGGGTGGCTCAGTTGGTTAAGTGTCCAACTTCGGCTCAGGTCATGATCTCACACTCCATGAGTTCGAGCCCCGCGTCGGGCTCTGTGCTGACAGCTCAGAGCCTCGAGCCTGCTTCGGATTCTGTGTCTCCCTCTCTCTCTGCCCTCCCCTGACCTCTCTCTCTCTCCATCAAAAATAAACTCTAGGGGCGCCTGGGTGGTGCAGTCGGTTAAGCGTCCGACTTCAGCCAGGTCACGATCTCGCGGTCCGTGAGTTCGAGCCCCGCATCAGGCTCTGGGCTGATGGCTCAGAGCCTGGAGCCTGTTTCCCATTCTGTGTCTCCCTCTCTCTCTGCCCCTCCCCCGTTCATGTTCTGTCTCTCTCTATCCCAAAAATAAATAAACGTTGAAAAAAAAAATTAAAAAAAAAAAAAAACTCTAAAAAATAATTAAAAAAAAAAAAAGATTCCCTCTATCTCAAAAAGAAAAAAAAAGAAAAAGAAAAGAAGTCTCCTGGATCCTGTCCCTTTGTGTCTACGGAAGGAATTCCAGCCTTCCTTAGCCCCTCTTTCTTGTAACCTATAATTGTCTCTCTCAAGCTTCTAGAACACTCACATGCAGTTAATATCACCCATCTTAAAAATAAACAAAACTCTCTCAGATTCATGCCCTCCAAGTTTCTGCAGCACTACAGCAAAGTTTCTCGAGCGTCACCTACGGTCATGGTCTCTACTTTGTGATGACCTCTTCTCTCTTCCACCTCCTCCAATGTGGCCTTTGTCCCCACCACTCAAACAGCCTTTATCAAGGTTGCCAGGACCATTTGCCAAGTCCAAGCCTCTGACTACTGTGGGTTGAACTGTGTCCCCCTAAAAGATATTGAAGGTCCTCATCCCGCAGTACTTGTGAATGAGACCTTGTTTGGAAATAGGGCCTTCACAAGTTAAGGTGAGGTCATTGGGTGGGTCTAATCTAATCTGATTGTGTCCTTATACAAAGGCTAATTTTGGACACAGACACACATGCATGAAACACATGTACTTGTGAACCCCATGTGAACACGAAGGCAGAGATTGGGGTGATGCCCCAACAAGTCAAGGAATGTGAACGACTTCCGGCAATCCATGAGAAGCGAGAAGAGGCATGGAATAAATTCTCCCTCTCAACCCGCAGAAGGCACCAACTCTGCCAACCCCTGGATCTTGGCCTTCTAGCCTCTAGACCTGTGAGCAAATTCATTTGTTGTTTGAGCCACCAGTCGGTGGCGCATTGTTACAGCAGCCCTGGGGTACCGATGGAACTTTTCTTTGTGCCCCCATGACGCCACTCCCCTGGTTTCCCTACAGTTCCAGTGGCTCCTCTGAATGTTGGCCTGTATCAGAGCTCAGTCCACCCATATCTTTTTTTTCTAGCCTCTCTAATCTAGGTGATCTCAACCTATGCTGATGACATCCTTACCTAACTCTAGACTGACCTCACCCATGAGCTTCAGATTCCACTCTCCTGCCTCACCACGTGGATGTCCACACATCTCAACTTTATCATGATCAAAACAAAACTATTTAAAAAAAAATAAGTTTATTTATTAAGTAGGCTCCATGCCCAACATGGGGCTCGAACTCATGACCCTGAGATCAACAGTCACATGCTCTACCGACTGAGCCAGCCACGCACCCAAAACAAAAGTCTTTTTTTTTTT